TCCCAAATAGACTCAATCGATGGCCATACGTTAAAAGTATAAATTATTTCAGTTACCTTTAACAGTTAGAAATAGTTTGAATACTCCAATAAAGACTATTTAGTCTTTACTTTTAATAAAAGTCTGACATAGAATGGTGTAAAAATATATAAGCTTGAAACCCTGAAATTCACTAAAAGACAACTTGCATCACATTGTATAAATCTGGGAATTATTCATCTATATACATATATTAAATCTTCCTTAACACCTAAATAAGCTTAATGTTGAAATAAGCAACGAAACTTGTGAGATCATTATTTCTTATTTTGCCACCATTGAAAGTATATCTATTATAAAAGTCTAGGACTGCGTCTGTTAGAAAGATATCGCTAAAGTTTATATCAAGCTACAATCTGCTTGATAAGCGCAACTGCGCGTGGGAAAATAATTTATCATAACTCTGTTAGTTTAATAATTTTTCTTATTTTAGAACACTCGTATATAAAAGACTGTAGAGCTGAGTCACTCAGTGACATTCACGAGACTGTGTGATTATTCAAGTACGAGATTCATTTCGAACTCCTGCAGTTTGATTGATTATCATGCACTTGGGGTTTCATATCTAAAATCAAATATTTTTGTTGTTGATTTTTATCAGTATGTATTCGATATTAGCGATACAGGATAATCTAATAAATATAGAAGTCGTTTTTAATGTACGTTGTATAGAATTCAATTCGGAAGGGATGAAGTTACATTGCATTGTTTTATATAAATAAAATATTATTACAGTTCAACTATCAGAAATACAATTTCGTCATATTCAAGCATCGATATCGAATTTATTATTAAAGTAGAGAAGAAAAAATAAAATGTAGTACATTTTATATTTACTTATTTTCGTTTAAAGGCTGCATTTTTCTTCTAAAATGTAGAGTCGTCAACTTTTTGAAGGCCATAGATAGGCCTAAATAAAATGTTTTTAATTGTGTACCAGTTTAACGTTGAATATTATTTATGATTTTAACGTATTTTCTTGTTTCTGAGAAATGTGTGACTGGTTCATCATTTGAGCTACGAAATCATCGAAAACTGGACAAATAATGATTAGAGAAAAAATGAAAGAAAGATATTTCAGTAGACTTGGAGAATAAAAAATAAATAGAAAGATAACGGCTTATAGACAATCAGATAGAAGACCAGAAGTATAAAGACTGTTCGTTACAAAGCTAGCTAGGCATTTAAGAACGCAACGAGAAGACAAATTTATTGACTGTAGAAGATGCGGTAAAACTGTGTATTGGTTTGTTTGATTACAAGAGATGTGGTATTACAACTGTGTATTGGTTTGTTTGATTGCAGATGTTGTATTAAAACTGTGTATTGGTTTGTTTGATTGCAGATGTGATATTAAAACTGTGTATTGGTTTGTTTGATTGCAGATGTTGTATTTAAACTGCGTATTGGTTTGTTTGATTACAGATGTGATATTAAAACTGTGTATTGGTTTGTTTGATTGCAAATGTTGTATTTAAACTGTGTATTGGTTTGTTTGATTGCAGATGTGGTATTTAAACTGTGTATTGGTTTGTTTGATTACAAGAGATGTGGTATTAAAACTGTGTATTGGTTTGTTTGATTACAGGAGATGTGGTATTAAAACTGTGTTTTATTTTGTTCAATTACAGGAGATGTGGTATTAAAACTGTGTATTGATTTGTTTGATTACAGGAGAAGTAGTATTAAAACGGTGTATTGGTTTTTTACAGTTATGTTTCGTCTCTACGACACTGATGGAAACGGCTACCTGGATAGCAACGTAAGTATTTGTTTCACATTTGTCATTTGAAAGATTCATAAAAGTGAAAATATTAAGATTAAACGACAATTAATAATAATTATGGAATCAAACACCTTTACGTATATGGTATTTATTCATAAAGTGAATAGAACTAAATGTGGCGAATCTTTGAGTTCTTATACGTTATGAGTTTTGTAACAAAACATCAACCTGAATAAACAGCAAAGGTTCATTTTAGCAAACTGAGGCTCATATGTCATCATTTTACTTTTGTCCTTGGGAGACTAATTTGGACTTTATAATATGCTATTCTAGTGGCATCCTGCTCAAGATGAGCGCCATGGTGTAATAGATAAAATGTTAAATACCTATCTATGTGGCTCACAACAAGGCATTTAAAACAGAAACGGATTACAAAACTACATCCCAAACCAACCGAAGCAATGCTCTCCTCATCCCCAAAGTGCAGGCCATGTTACGAAGCAGGATCCTCTGTCCCAAAAATGTCATATTGGTGAGGTTGAATATATATCCTGGTACCGTTGACAAAATAATAAACAAGGATTTTAAGTTGATGAAGGCTCATTACCTCCCAGCATACAGCTCTTCTTATTCAAAAGTGGAAGAAGAAGAATCAACTCTTCTCAAACACTTCGGATTCTGGTTCATTTTTTAATATGTTTCACGTTTTTTAGTAATTTGATTTACCACTTTTACATCATGGTTGTAGATAGATAGATATTGTCATCTTTGATCTACCTGAACGTGTTCCTGGAAGTCGACGTCCACTTAAGTATATAGTCAAAGATTGACTAAGATGTCTTTCGAAGAAGCTTATTACAATGAAAACTGCGGTGTCTGGCAATAGTGCAAGGCAGAGTGTTAACATTATTAATATTAACTTCCAATCAGAGCAAGCTATAACCTCGCTGATATTCTCGGCCGTAATCCCAATAATATATCTTAGGATAATTAGGTTAGTTCTAAATATATATATTAATTTAACAGTGCAAAACACTTCCTATGTTTTGTTTGTTGTTTCTTGTTAGGAACAATAGGCTATATGTGCTGTGTCAACCGCGAAATTCAAAACCTGATTTTTAGACTTATCGCTGAGCCACCGGGGCCACAAACAACTTCTATAATAAAAGTATAATAACAAAAAATAAAAGTAAAAAGTAAAATAATTAGATACGTTAAACATTCCAACCAATACTGTTAATGAAAGTGAGAATAAGGAAATAATACCAGGTTTCTAGACTAAAAGAGGTTAGGCTCCAGGAAAAGCATCGTTTAACACTATACAGCTTTTAACTAAGAAAGTTTGTTGAAATCCATGCGGTAAGATAAACTACACTCTTATACCAAAGACTTTTGTAACAACCAGAAACACAGTTTCTTTTAGAATTTTCCCACAGTTACACAAAGAAGTATACGATTATAGCCGTCCTTAGTTTTGAATCTATAGACTATAAACAAAGCAGCTAGTCAACAGCACCCACCATTAACTCTTGAGCTCTTTTGTCTGACTTAATAGTGGGATTTTGCTGTCACTCTTATAACGAACCCACGGCCCTAAATAATGAAACGCGTATTTGCAGCAATGGGCCACAAACAATTAATTCATAGTTCGAGCACACTAACAGTTAGGTCATGCCTGGTCCCCAAAACAAAGTAAGTGTAATTACAAAACTAATAATTTGCAGCTATCTTTCTGTAAGCTCTTATTGGACTATTATTATTATTCAATTACTAACAGTTATAATGTGATGTTCTATTTCAATCTATGAAATTGCTATTAAAGGTTTTCTTTAGTTGTTACCGTAACGATAATTAAAGGAAATCTGTACATTGCTAGACAATAATCTTAATGGTAAAATATTACATTTTTGTTTTACATATGTGCTTAAAGAAATTTCTTATAACACAAAACCTGGTCAAATATTTCTCTTCAAAATTACCCACAAGAATTTTATAACATGTTGTGATTTAAACATTCTAGAACTGTATCTCCTGTTGCAAATTTAGAATATAATCATTCTTTGTAACTTTAAGTCTGTAAGCGGAACGTTTATTGAGGAAAAATGATAAATCACCCCTCAACTATTTCCAACATAACTTATTAGTGTCAATTATGTCTTTAATGGTTAATCTATTTATCTTAAGTTTGTAATAAAACAAAGCGGACTATCATTTTCTTCTCTCTTCTTTCTATTATCCTACTTCTTCTTCCAGATAAAACTACTGACGGCCAATATATTTTATTGAAATAGGGTTTACTCAAGGCTGCTCAACAATGAAAGCCTAAAAATTTTATTTTTAATCACGTAATTTCCAAAGTAGTTTTGTCAGTGACCACTAGACGCGCTTAAATAAAACAAAAGCAAAAAACATGCTTCTAAGCGGTTAGTAGCTTTTCCATCTAAGTTTAAAATGTTTACATTAAGAGTACCTTGATGCTCTTTGTAAGATCGTTTTGAAAGATCTAGAATGAAATGGTCTCTGAATTCAATTTTATTTTTCAATGTGTTTTTGCCCCTAGAATGGCTTAACTAAAACTCTATATCGATTCAATTTCTTTTAGAAATGTTTGCACATCTTTCCTTATAAAACTCGTACTTCCGATGTAAGTTTTTGTCCGAAAAAAAAAGGATCAAAACTAACTTTTAACTTTAAAGTAGCGTGTGTTGTCAAAATGATAATGCTAGACGCAGCCACCATTATCCTTCCATCTTTCAATAGTGCAACATCTGCATGAAAGTCTAAACGAAATAGCACCAACGTGTTCTGATAAGTTAATACTTTTTGTAATTTTCTTCACGCGAGCGTAACACGTTAATCCAAAACTGCATTTGTTGAATGTCGCAATGTACGATCACACGAGAACATAAGAAAAAAAACACACTATACTTTAACTGATTCGGTGGTATTTGTTAACATTTTCCGTGTTGAGTAAGTACCGTAAGTATCTAAAAGATTATTAAGGTGTATGAAGAGAATGATGTACAGCAAGTGGCGTCCCCAGAGAGTGATAAAACTTGAGATATGTATCGTGATTGGTTCATTTTTTATCTTATATATATATATATATATGGTGATTGGTTCATTTTTTATCTTATATATATATATATATGGTGATTGGTTCATTTGTTTTATTTTAAATATATACATGATTGGTTAATTTTTGTCCTAGATATATATCGTGACTGGTTCACTTTTTATCTTAGAAATATGTAGCGTGATTGGGTAAGCTTTTAACATAAACTGTCTCAGTCTCTTGTAGTCTCTTCCTACAATACAGCTTCTTTGACAAAATGAGTATATGTTAGTAAATATTACAATACGTATAAAACTACTTTGTCTACATAACATCTAAGAATTAGGCTCCAGTGTATCGTAATACAGTATAGTTGTATTGGTTCATTTCTAGATAGAGATTTATTGTACGTCTAAAGTTTAGATAAAATCTAAAATACATTGGAGTGATAAAATAGCGTTTCTTCAGACACACTGGACAACCGCTTTGTAGTTTAGCGTGAAACATAAAATGAAATATCCATAGTTTTCATAGAATATATCGTTCCTAGCAGAACATTATCTTAAGTAGCTTTAGATTCTAAATGTTAGCTCAAAAACATAAACCATTACATTTCTGAAGGGCTATAGACTGTAAGCCCATTAAAGTAGCACGTCTAATTTTATAGTTCTTTGCCGTTAGCATATAGAAACTTCCGGATATTGTGGCTGTAATTCTTGCTGAATGTGTTATGAACGTCAATGTAGTTTATGGCTCAAGATTGTTGGACATCTTCCAACTATAAATGTTAAGGACTGGTTAGTATGTTCATCGTTTTACATAAATGAAACGTTAACTATGCTAAACTTAAAGATTGTCTATTATGTACGCAATCATGAAACTACTATCACTATGTTTTTAGTTGTTAGTAATACCTGTCTGTATTCCTTTTTTGGCAGAAATTTTTAACTGGCTATACTACTTTAATTGGTAATGAAATCTTACGATCTCACGTCTTTCAAAATTCAGCTATAAATCTTCTCTTCTGTGAAAGAGAAACTTAAAAACCAAATCTTGTACAAAACAACCTTATCTGAATAAAACAATGTTTAATTTTGATCTAAAACGTGTGTAAACAACTATGTAATAAACGTTCAATGAGAATTCGCAGGACAGACTTTTATTAAAGGAAGCATTTAATAGACAAATATAAATATCATTCGAAAGCATGAGTTAGTAAAGCGGCTTGCACAGAAACTTTTCACCTGTTTTTCTTTGTTATCGATGCGTATGTAGCCATTATGAATACCATTATGATAAAACCGAATATATGCTAAAAAATAATGATAAGGTTTATTGAGTACAGTACTTCTAAGCAAGTTATCTCTGCACAATAAGAGTATACGTTTCTTGATTTTCAGATGAAACCATTTTTTTGGGGAAAATCTATCGATTGATTATTGCTTTCAGAACAAAAAGAAATTCTTATTATGCTGTATGTGGGTTATCATAATTTGAATTATAAGTATAATTTCGATTGGAATAACCTTAACAGTATCATAGAAAGGGATCTTATTGAAATTTTGATCAGTCTATTAAGTCATATAAGCAGTCTGCTGTTGCTGCTAGTGGTAGGGCAAATAGGATTTTAGGTTGTATTTACAGAAATATTGAATAAAAGCCTAAAGAGGTTATAATTTCATTGTATAGGTCACTGGTTAGGCCACATTTGGAGTACTGTGTTCAGGCTTGGGCTCCTTACATTGAGTTGTTGGAAAGAGTTCAGTGAAGGGTTACTAGAATGGTGCCTGGGATGGAAGGGTTGTCATTAGAGGAGAGGTGAAATCCTTAAGTTATTTTCTCTTGAAAAAGAGAATAGTTAGGGGGGGATCTGATTGAGGTGTTTAAGATTGTAAAGGGAATTTATAGTGTTGATGCATCATCTTTTTCATATTTAACGATGAGAATAGTAGGACTAGAAAACACAAATATAAATTTAGGCAATGAGGGAGTTATCTTCAGCTAAGACCGTTTTATTTTTCGAACAGGGTGGTTGGTCTTTGTAATGGGTTGCCTTCAGATGTTGTAGAGGCAGTAAATTTAAGTGAGTTTAAGAAAATACTTGATAAGCATATGAATGATAATGGCTGGCTTTAAGATTTTTTAATTTATTTATTAATAGTTTTAGTTTACATTAGAGGAAGGAACAGCCGAGATAAATCAATAGCCCCCATGTTGTCCCAAAACGTTATGTTTCCAATAACAATGTGTAAAGTTATAATTACAAGAATGATCTAGGTTTGTATTTAGTCCTGCTATACTTTTATAGTAAACATGTCAAAACGAATAAATCAATCCAGACAATATAAGTTAATTAAGACCACAACAGCTGAAGCATTTAAAGTTGAATGGAATCTTATTTATTGAAATACACAATAGATTATCATCAGAGATTAATACAGAGTAAATGTTTTTATTAATCGTTTATTTAAAAAGTACTTTTTTTCTGTATTTAGGCACAGAATTGGGCCAAACATTCAAGACTTTTCAGGGATTTTTAACATAACAAAAACAATGAACCAAATTTTTAAATGTTCTATCTCAGTGCACTATTTCTTAGCTTTGGTACAGTTCAAGTAAAGCATGATTTAATTCTGGAGTGGAAATACAACTGGCGTAACAAACGAAATTCTATACTATTGTTGATTTTTAGAAATGTATAATTTATTATTTTTCAAAGATAAACAAAATTTAGTTTTAAATTAATAATGCTAGATTCTTTGTTTGTTTTTAATTAAGCACAAAGCTGCATAATGGGCTATCTGTGCTCTGCCCACCACGGGTATCGAAACCCGGTTTCTAGCGTTGTAAATCCGCAGACATACCGCTGTGCTACTGGGGGGCCCCTAGATTCTTATTTGTTGTTAACATTAATTAATTTTAAATTGTTAACGGCTTAGGCAATAGAACTACGATTGTTTATTACACATTGAAATCAGCCTTTGTATTATAGCATTCCGAAATTCGTGGTTCCTGTAATTTTAACGAAGTTGTGCATTGTGAAAGTGTCAGAACTAGTGTAAAATAATTATGGACATTGTGTGATGTATGTTGATTCATATTTCCATCATCCAAACATGCATATGCATCTTTGTTAACAAAACAACCGTAACAAACGTATTACAGCAAGTGATCAACAAATACTTGGCAAATACTAAAATGTTCTCAGAGTAAGAAGAACTCAATTTAAAGATAACGCCACTAATGTTATAGATAAAAAAGTGGTTGAAGTGTCTATATCTTGTTTTAATATTTGGTTGTGCCCCCTCTGGCCTTGGTAACTGCTTGGCATCACCTTGCATAAATATTACCAACCTTTTTAGCCCTGTGGCATGGAATAGGGTCGTCCTAGAATGTGCACTGGTCAGCTCCACCAATGTGATCCCGAACTGTTGGCTTTACTCGGTGTAGCAATTTCAGATTGCCCCTGCTTCACCTTACCCCACAGTAACTTAAAATCGCGTTCTGATTACCGGGAGGTAGGATGAAGTCGATTTCAAATTACCCCTGGGGGTAGCTTGAAGGTGATTTCAACCTACCCCCCTACGATTTCAGATTACCCCCTCAAAACATTTATTTATTTACGTTTATTTAGAT